GGCCCATTTCTACTCGGGTGCGGGGGTCTCGGGGTGGTGGGAAGGAGGTGGGGACGGGTCCCTGGGGTGGTGGTGACGCTCTCCCTCCCACAGCAGCAAGAGGAGGTGCGAGGGGAGGGGAGCCCTTTGGGGAGAGCTCATGAGATGGTGATGCGGATTGTAATTGGCCACACAACGCAAGTGGCTTCGCTGTGGTGCTCCCAGGCCCCAGGTTGTCTTTCTCCTGACCAAGAGCTGCCCTTCTCCCTCGCTACACCATTCCCTGGGGATACGGGTTTTCCCTGTCTGCACTTGTAGGACTTTGGCCACATCGGGTGTTGCCATGCCCCAAAACCGATGGGTGTCCATCGGCCAAACTCAAGGCTGGGGAGCAGCGAGGTGGAGGGCAGAGCATGCTTTAGCAATAAAAGAATTGATGGCTCAGCCCCCAGCTCACCCACATGCACGGGGCCTCAGGTTTGCTTTCATTTTTTCCTTTCCCCTTTTTCCCTGAGCAGGTGAGTGCCAGGAGGTGTTCACCGCCATCAAAGGGAATTTCTCCAGCCCTCGGTACCCCAACTTCTACCCCAACAACCTCAAGTGCCAATGGAGCATCCAGCTGCCCCCGGGCTACCGGGTCAAGGTCTTCTTCTTGGACATGGAGCTGGAGGGCCGGAGCAGCCTGACGGGCGGCTGCGACTACGACCACGTGGCTGCCTTCGACGGCGGCACTGAGAATGGATCCCTGCTGGGGCGGTGGTGCGGGCGGGAGAGCCCGGTGCCCGTCACCTCCCGGCACAGCCAGCTGCTGCTGGTCCTCCACACCGACCGCAACACGGCCAAGAGGGGCTTCTCCATCGCCTACGTGGGAGGTAAGGCCTTGCTTGGGTGATCCGCAGCGCTTTATTTCCATCAGGACCTGCCCAAGACCGTGTTATTTCTGGAAGGATTGTGCAGTGAAGTTAGAATCATAGAATCAAGGTTGGAAAAGACCAATAAGATCATCAAGTCCAAACGTCAACCCACCACCACCATGCCTGCTAAATATAGATACTCGTGAGCAGGAGCAGAGCGCGTGGCTCTCTGGGGACGGGGTGGGTAAGATGTGGTGGGCGAGCCCCAGCTCTTGCAGACTGCGAGACACGCATGCTCCACATCGTGTTTAGTATTCAAGAGATGCTTCCCGGCTTCTCCTTGCATCTCTGCTGCTGCCATGCTCCTGCTTCTCTCTCAGGGCATGGAAGGGAGAAAACTCAAGGGGTTTTTAGGGGACCAAAACCCCGGGGAAGTGACCAGCTCAAGCATCCCAACCCTGTTCCCTGCTCCCCAGGATGCTCCGGCCCCACCAGCACAGGGCTCAGCAGCAGAAGTAGACCATGTCCTCTCCTCCACAGCAGCAGTGCTGGAGGGACAGGACCCCGGGGCACAGCGCTCCCGAATCCACCTGGCCAGTGCCGCCGGCGTGCCCCGTGCCCCAGCCAGTGTATTCACAGCTGGCGGGAGGAGCCGTGCGTAACCTCCCTTGTCTATCTGCCAACACTTGCCCCTCAAAAGCCACCGAATTGATGGCGTTCGTTGTATTTCAAGATAATTACATCTGAGCTGACCTGTGTGTCAGGGATGATTCAGGCAGGGCAGCCTCGCCAGCGGGCTGGAGCCGGAGCAGGGCTGCTGGACCGGTGGCACAGGAGCCGGGAATGGCCGGTCCTGGGTCTATAGGGTTTTATCCCTCAGCAGCAAAACCCTTCCTCACTTCCAGTGTAGCAGAAGGGATCTGGGGCTACATGCCTCTAGGAGTAAGAGATGGGATGGAGTCTTGTCCTGAGCCTCTGCAGCCTCTGGAGGGAGAGAGGTTGTAGAGCTTTAGTGTGCAGGACAGGTCTGTCCCTGTCCCTGTCCCGCTGAGTTCTTGCTGTTTTACAGCAGTGTGCAGGGAAAGAAACCTTGGCCTCACTGTGTCTGGTCACGGAGAAACCCCCTTCCTGACGGAGGAGCTTGCAGACGGGTAGATGGGATGGTAGCTGAAGAGCAGGGGGAAGCCCCGTCACAGAGAGGGACGTGACTTCTCCCGGCTGCCCGAGGCCCCTGCGTCCCCCAGTACACGCTGCCGACGCGTGCCGGGGGAGGGCAGAGGCTTGGGCATCATGAAACCGAGCCTCCCTCCGTGGAGCTAAGGCTGCGCGCTACGTTCGCCCGGCGGCTTGGGCCTCCGCCTGCCGTC